AGAGAGAGAGAGAGAGAGAGAGAGAGAGAGAGAGAGAGAGAGAGAGAGAGAGAGAGAGAGAGTTATACCAAGACCGCGCGAGAGCGTAGGAAAGGCCGCGGAGGGGAGGGGAACAACCGGATCAACACACTCATACTCCTAAGCAGACGGTCCCCCAGTTCAGTTTCCCCATCCCCGCCCGGACRAGTACATACACACATACATGCATGCAATCAACAACCCTTGAYAGGACATCTWATCATCCATGGACCTTCGAYGTCACTCATGCGCATAACCAGCTCCCCTCACTCGGGGCTTCACACACACGACATGCATAGACAAAGCAGCAATGGAGATAAAAGCGAGTCCTTCTTGTACACAAAAAWTYCAATTAACWGCCGCCYCCGGGCGCAGCCTTCAAAACTTCCCAAGACCACCGACCACCATAGCCACAAGGCCCTGCCGCGGCCGGCGTCCAATCCCCACCACTGCTCAGTCCCTCCGACTGCTTCGCCCCGAGAMWACCGYRGGGTCCACCCCACGTCGTCACTCCGCCCGGCCTTGGGCTCGTCGAGCCTGTTCGGCGCCGYGGACTCTCGYGCATAGCTCGCGCGGCATTGCAGCCGAGATCAAAAGAGAGGGAGAGGAGAGGGTTGCGCAAATTTATAGCGCGGGAGGCGGCGGGTTAACAGCGCGAGGTGCGGGCAGCGCAGGGTGTAGATGAGCAGGACAGGAGAGAGAGGTGGGGAGTTAGAGGGTTCGATCCGCGGGATTGCATGGCTACGTGATTGGGATGTTCGTCCAAGTGGTGCGCGGTTTCCCGCTTTCTACATTGATCCGAGCATCCCAACTACGCAGCCAATCAGTTCGCGGAGGAAGACGGGGTAAGGATCAAGCTGGGCGTAGGGGAAGACGAAGAGTCCTGCATGGGGAAAACGCGCGCAGCAAGAAGGGAAGATGGCTCGAGGATGCAAAGCAAGAAACGGGGATGCGAGACGCACGAAGAAACCGGAGCTTGGGCGCGCGCGCAAAAATTCAAAAAGTCCCAACCGCACCTGTTTCTTGGTTTTCATACCGCGGCCGCTATTCGCCCGCGAGAGTTGTTCACCAAACAAAATGAAAAAGCCGTTTCAAAAAGAAAACAAAAGCAAAAAGAAAGAAAAACCCCTTTCTATCCGCGTCCGTACTTCGGGGCTTCCGAGGGATTTTTCCTCAGGGATACGGCAAGCCGCGCGGTACGGATTTGAGCTTATCATATTTGTGATACGCAGGGGGTTCCGAAAAATTAGCAGTCTCCCGACTGCTGATGCCATCATATCATGGATGATCGGGCGGCCTCTTCATCGTTAGCTGGCCCGATCATCTTCCTAATCTACGTGGATGCATCCTGCATCGTCCATCGCCTCCTCCCATAGTATACATTCGATCGGGCGGCCCCTTCATCGTCAGCTGGCTCGATCGGTAAGTAAAAAGATTTTATTATTATTATTATTTTTTATTATTATTATTATTTTTTTTATACAGCGCGTATCGTCGCGCGAGCTTTTAGATCCGGAAAAGAAGAAGAAAAAGAGGAGAAGAAGAAGGAGAGGACAGGGGAGAGGTAGACGAGGGTGATCAAAGGAAGTGATCTATGTCGGGATTGAGAGGGGGCGGAATAGGTGGAAGAAAAGCGGCCATTGTCGCAGGAGTTGTCGGCGCATCTTCCTCATGGAAGTGATGCTGGACGAATGAGGGGTAAAGGAAAGCTCCCGGCACATGTGAGAGGACTCGTGGTGCCAGATCCGCTACTGCTCGCACCACCCGCTTGCGCACCGATCGGGGCCCTGTACCCGTCATCACCACATGAGTCTCGGTGTAAGGCCGCCGCTCCCGCTTCTGCGCCGCGAAGACCAGGAAGTGGTACATTGCATTTGGACGCTGCCCGGTCTCGTAGATGAGCGTCCCAGCCAATCGCGCCGCAATACACCCTTGGAAAGGGGGTGTCAGATATGGCTCCCACGCCGGATCAGGGCGCGGCGCCCTCGCGATGGCCTCGAGCCTGATGGTGGCGGGCTCCACCATGAAGTCCACCTCGGTTGGATGGACCGTCCGGCTCGGATGAACTACTAATGTCAATGACCGGGGCACCCCGGGGTGGCTGGCGGGAACGGAGAGGTCCCGCGAGGACGGGGGGTCTGGATATGGGATCCAGAAATCCCATTCGGCTTCCTCCTCCGGCTGCTGCTGCTGATGATGGCCCGACTCCATCAAGATTGAGATCGGGCACACGCGGAATGGGCGGCGATGGCACGATAGTCTCCTTAACGAGCGTCGCCGCGCTCCCAGGCACAGGGTTAGGAATCCGCGTACGCGGGGGCTGAATCACCTCCTCGCCGCCGCCGATCCTGCTGCCCTGCGCTCCTGGCGACGGGTGGCGTCTCTTCCTCTTCGGCGTCTTCTTGGGGGCCTTCGGTGGCGCTGGTCGAGGATACGACGAGGGAGGACGCAACGGCCTTTCCTCCGGGAAGTCCTCCAATCTCTCCGCGCGCTGTGCAATGTAATCCGGGATGACCACCGCGTTGTACGTTCTCCGCGGGGCCGTCGCCGTCCGCAATCGTGGTTGGATCTCCTCCTCCTCGCTCGCGATCACTTGCGCAATGGAGAGGAGCTCAAGATGTATGAGCTCCAACAATCCCGGATCGATTGTCTGGAGCTGGGCGAAGGGGTACAGCGCCACCATCCCTTCCTTCTCCGCTGGCTTGGGCCGCGCGATGGACGTAGTAAACGACGAAGTGCTCCCCGATAGCGTGGTCTTCGTGATCCACAAAGAACCGGAACATCCCTAGCGCCACCGACTTGTACAACGCACGGTGCAACTCCCACGCGTCTTCGTCGGCGAAGGGCAGCGGCTCCACGTCAGTTAGCTCCACCAAATACTCTGAGAACTCGCGCATGGGGTAAGGGTCCTCCGTGAGCTGGTAGGGGAGCGTGGTGTAGGAGAAGAAAGGAGGCATTTAGTATGGGACAGGGGGAATAGCTTGGAAGTTGAGAGGAGCAGCGGGAGGGAGAAGCGCGGGGAGCTGCGGCACCAACGCAATCGGTCCGTCCTCTGCCCTACGCAGCAGCACTTCGTGGGCTGTGAATCGGTGTCCCCCCCGTCCTTGCACTCTGGCCACTGATCTGGCCGCTTCCACAGCGTATTCGCGCACAAAGCTACGTGCCGGTTCCCGATTCTGCTGCGGTAGGACCGTCAAGTCTCCGATGAAGGTGGCGACGCTGTGCACGAAGTTGGATGCCACCTGGAGCGCACGGAACTCAATGAATACTCGGGTCGTCTCCCGTCCAGGCAACTGCGTCACGTCCACGTACACTCCCGCATATGTCAGCCGATCGCAAAGCAATGAGTACGTTGCCAAATCAGCAACCCCGGGCGCTGGCACGTTCACCTGTTGGATGTCGTACCGCAACTGCCTCTCCTCATTAAACCGATGCCGCAACAAGCGATCTGCAAGCGACGTCTGGAAGTGCTCGAGGGGCTCATGCTCTGGCTGGCGATGGTTCATCCTGCTCCCTGAAACTCTCAGCATCAATGGACGAGGCAGATCGGGAAGAGGAGGAGGATGAAGAAGGAGAGGGTGATCTCGCAGGAGCGGGGGTCCGTAGGGGACCTAGCGATGGCTGGAAGGGCCGGAGCGTGGCAGCGTGCCGTGTCAGCGATCGGGCCTGGGAGTTGTAACGGGGAATCAGCTTCACGGAGTGCTGTCCCTGTGCGCCAACTTCCGTGACCTCGTAAATGCCTGTGTAGCGCGGGTGGATCTTGGAGGAACGCGCAGATTTCCGTACCTGCACCAAGTCCCCAACTTTATAGTGGGACAGTGGTCCGACGCGTGTCGATTCTCGTAGTCACGGATCTGCCGTTGATGTGTCCGATCTACGGCCTGCTGTCGACGGCGAGCTAACGGGGGATAGGCCCTAGCCATTAAGTCCATGTAGTGGCGGGCCTTATCTCGATTCTGGGCCCGTGTTGCTCTAACTTCCGTACCCACTAAGGGGGACAATTGCACCCGAGGGACACTATTGGTTCTCAGTTGAAAGGGGGACACCCCAATACTACCGTGTGGGGTAGCAAAAAAACGGCTAAAATGTGATCGACAATGACCGGCCAGGGTCGGGTGTCTCCCGCAGTGATATTCCGTCTAAGGGCCGTCTTAATTAGTCGGTTGGCATTCTCTACCAGGCCATTGGCTTGANGGCCGTCTTAATTAGTCGGTTGGCATTCTCTACCAGGCCATTGGCTTGAGGCCAATGCCCCGGTGAGTAGATAATCTTAACGTCCGCCCTGACTAGGTGATGTTCTACTTCGCCTTGAAATTCCGACCCATTGTCCATGTGTACCTCTTCAACGTCTAGATGCATGCACAAAAATCGATTTACGTACCAGGCTACTTCCTGCGAATTCCGGCTGGTCATAGGGTACGCCTCGATCCATTTTGAAAAATGATCGACGGCCACTAAAAGAACATTGAGCTCTCCTTGATCGACGGGCCCTCGCGGAACGTTGATATCCGTCGTATCGATGCTAACCCTCTGAAAGGGGTGCTCTACACGAGTGGGCACCATCGTCCGAGGCATCTGTACCGGCGCCTTGTCCGCCGCGCAGGCCGGGCAATTCTGAACGATGTATTTCACATCTTCCCGAATTCCCGACCAGTACCATCCGTTCTTTTCGATGGCTTTTTCCGTGTAATTGACCGCGAAATGGACCGCATCCTCCTCATGAGCAGCTCGTGTCCAATCGAACCTAGCAAGAGGGTGTGGAACCGTAAACCAGCTAGACTCTCCGTCGTCATCGCCTTCCGTTTTTGTAACGTCGGGCCCTGCCAGCGATAGTCCTGCGCCCGCTCCGTGACTCTCCGCCGTTCGTCTTTGGTAAGTTCTGACAACGAGTCGCCTGACAGTCTCCGTAGCAACAGAAGGTCCGTCCAGGCTTCTGCCCGGCGGGCACTTGGCGCAAATCCGTCGGCTGTTCTAGCGTCCAGATACCGCTTTTCGGTAGGGACTTGGTCCGTTCTACAGTTGAGACAGACCCACGTCTTTTCACTTCGGTACCTAACGCACTGTTCGTGAGATTTGACTGTATGACACTGACTACACTGTACCCATAAAAGAAAACTAGGCCCTCCCGGATGTGACCCTTCTTGGTCCGGGACCATAGGCAAGGTACAGAAGAAACAGGGACTTAGGTGTGTTTCAGGGGACAAGTTGGGGCTAGACGAGAGAGCGAGGGAGTGGGATGAGGGCAAAGAGATAGCGTCAGCCATCTCCGATGAAACCTCCATTCCGGACTCAGGCGTCGTCCTTACGCAGCACGTGTAGCTCCCCGTAGTGCGGTTTCGTCGCCACGACTTCCGGCCTCCACGGAACGAGTCGCTCATTGGCGGGACACTTGTTCGGCGGCAGAAGGCGCGTTAATCCATCGGCGTTACCATGCTGCCGCGTGGAACGGTGGCGGATGTCAAAGTCATAGTCTTGCAGACGCACCGCCCACCTGCCCACCTGCCCAGCGTCCCCGTGTAGTCCGTGTTGTTGCGTAGGGACAACAGCGACTGATGATCCATTACCAGCGTGAATTTCTGGCCGTACAGATACGGTCGGAAATGTTGAATCCCCCACACCACCACCAGACATTCACCTTTGCATGCTTCGTAATTAGCCTGCGCCTGACTCAGCTTCTTGGACGCATACTCAATGATGTGCTCCCTTCCGTCCTTGTCGTGCTGAGTCAGCACCGCCGATATCGCCTGAGGCTGCCAGTCTGTGTACAGTGCGAACGGTCTTGTCGGGTCGGGGCGTGCCAGTACAGGAGCAGATGTCAGAGCCTCCTTCAACGCCTGAAACGCCGCTTCGCATTCCGGCGTCCAGATCAGCTGTTTCTCTTTCTTCAGCAGGTTCGTGAGGGGCTTCGCTATGCCGACGAACCCCTTGATGAAGCATTGGTAATAGGATGCCAGCCCTAGAATAGCCCGAACCTGGGTGAGTGTTACCGGCGCCGGGGCGTCTTGAACTGCTGCCACCTTCCTCGGATCCGGTTTTAGTCCATCGACCGTGACGATATACCCCAAGAATGAGATCTCCGACAAGAAGAACTCGCTTTTCTCCAAGGCCACTTTGAACCCTGCATCTTTCAGTGCATGCAAAACCCACTCAATGTGTTCCACGTGGTACTCGTGTGTTTTTGAAAAGACCAAAATATCATCCATGTACACAATCACGCAGAAATTGATCAGGGGCTGGGTTAGTCGGGTTTTGTTAACGAACTCAGCGAAGGCCATATTCATGGCCCGCTGAAACGTTGCAGGGGTGTTACAAATTCCCATGGGACACCGGACCCATTATCACGTGCCCTCAAACAGGACAAAGGCGGTTTTGGGTTGGTCCTCCAGTCGGACTGCGACGTGGTGAAAACCGTGTCGGATATCGAACTTGGAAAAGACTCGAGCGACCCCGATAGCATCTAATAAATCATCGATTCGCGGCAAGGGATACACATCTTTGGTAGTGATGGCGTTCAATTTCCGGTAGTCGATACATACCCGAACCGAGCCATTTCGTTTTGGCACGAGGACCACGGGAAAAGACCATGGTCCCAGCGATGGTTCGACCCATCCCAACCGCTCGAATTCCCATACCCTTTCCAACACTAGCTGCCTTTCTTCAAGGGAATATCGGTACGGTCGGCAATGTATCAGGGCGTGATCCCCGGTGTCAATCGCGTGTTGTATTAAAGGGGTTAGCCCTATGTCGTGGTCCTGAATGCTGACGGCCTCAGGAAAGGCCCGTATAACTGCCAAGAGGAGGCGTTTATATTCGTCCGGAACACGGGCTGGTAACTGAACTTCTACGGTTCCCCCAGGAAAGGAGACCGTCGTCGTAACCGTGGGGACCGCCGCGTTGGCATCGGGCGAGGCCCCAAACAAAGAGTTGTCGGTTTTCGCCGAAAGGACCGTCGCAATAAGTTGGCTGTCCGCCGGACTCATCGGCTCGCTTTCGATGTCACTGTCACTGTCCAGTTCGGGTTCAGCCGAGGGTTCGACCGAAAAGGCCTGCGCCAGTTCCCTCGGTCCCCACCAATACTCCCTCGTTCGGGGTTGAGACGACACCCCCTCTTTCAGGAGTGTCGCGGCTTTTTCATTCGTGAGTAGAGGCCGTGGAGGTTGAAAAGATAAATCGCACAGCCCCCTCAGCTCGGTAAATCTTTCAGGTAGGGGGTCCGTCCGAAGATACAAGGACGCAGGGGGTTCCGAAAGGTCAGCTATTCGGGACACCCTCAGCAGGGGTTCCCCCTGCACCATGGAGGAGAACGCGTGCGACCAATTGGACTCGCTCCGAACTATTTCCAGTGGTTATCGCCGCCAAGAATGGCGCCACCGATCCTGTACTCGGATCGGATATCGGTCGGGTACATCAGTCTTGTCAGTTTCCGTCGAGGGTTCATCTTCGTCTGGTGACAGGCGTCGGATCATATTGATTTGATGGGCTTTAGTGGTGAGGCGAGGCGCCGGCTGGATGCGCGTGCACACGGCCAGTCTCATTGGTATCGTTTGGGGTTTGGGGTGGGCCGATGTGAGCACCACCTTACAGATGTCAAAGTGCATTCGCGCTCCGATTGCCGCCTGCCACGGAATGCCTAGCAGAACATCATACGCCTGTACATCCAGCACAATCACGTCACACAAACAATGCACCCGCCCCACCCGTATAGGCACGTTCGTTATTCGCCCTTTACAATGAATACTATCTTCCGTAGCGGATATATACAGTTCATCCGGCCGGAGGGGCTGAACTTGTCCTTCCCTTCCCAACTGTTTCGTCAATCTCCAAGAAATGGCGACCGCCGATGATCCCGAGTCTAGGATGGCGGCCGAGGGGTTTCCCCAGACCTCACAGTCACACTCTACGCTTTTCCAGGTTATAGGATAGGCCCGGAGGAATACCTCGGGGTTTTCCGAGGCAGAATCTACGGTCTGGATCATCCCTATCAGGTTGGCTTTGTGCACCTCTGAGGTCGAGGGCTGTGACTCCTCGTTAGTGGGTGGGTCCCGTAGGACCGGCTTTTTGCCCTTTCGACTTTCCTCGAATCGGCGCCTGTTTTTGAGGCACCGTTCGATCAGCTTTTCGTTAGCCGCTTCGGAAATGGTTAGCAGATATGGAATAGGGACGGGAATCCGAAGATCCAGAGCCTTCAAGGCATCCAATACGTCGATATGGCCATCCTTGTATTCAAGACCAGGTACCGCGAGATCCTCGAATCCTGGTCGCCACGGCCCGAGGTCGCTTTCCTCAGTAATCCGTTGGACGTGACGTATCACTCCGATGGTCCCGGGTTCGAATATTGCTGCCGCCATATACTCATCGGGTCCTATCTCAGTGGCCGTCGGGGTCACCATCTCCGTCGTTCTTGTGTGTATTACCATGGCTACCCTCCCCTGCGTTGCACCGGTGGGAGCAGCCAGCGGTATTTGGGAAGGTCCTGTGGGCCCGCCCTGAGTTCGGGGTTTCGGACAATCTTTCGCAAGGTGGCCTGGCTGATTACAGTTGTAACAACGTAGGGGTGGGACAGCCCCGGCCACGACCGGTCTTATCATAGGGGCTCCGGTAGCCATAGCCGCCTGTTGCCGTTGTGCGGCGGCTATGCGTTGCCATTGCAGACCTTGAACAAACTCCGTCAACGGGGCTACTACCATAACTAGTTGGGCGGCGACTTCTTTCATGGATGCTTCTTCGTCACCCCGGCTTCCTTGTGTTTGACTAGAGCGACGGGAGGCTGAAGCAGAGGAAGAAGCTTTCCGGTCCGAGCCTTTTTTTGCCGGTCCCAACCCGAAGCGATCTTCAAACATTCGTGCCGTAGTGGAGTAGCTATTGTGTCGAACACCCGAAGGGTCATCGTCGTCGGATTCTGAGTCCAGGCCCACATCGTAATTTTCTTTCCCGTACTTAATTGCGTACTGAATTAGCTCCGTCAGGG